GATGTGGCGCTGGGGACACCACGATGGGACCCTGTGTTGGGGACACTGAGGTGGGGACCTTGAAATGGGGATGGGGTATTGGGGACACCATCCTGAGGACTCTTCTGTGGGGACCTTGCCATGGGGACCCTGTGTTGTGGACTGCCATGATGGGGACACTGCCTTGGGGACATTGCTCTGGGGTCCCCATGATGGGGACACTGCCTTGGGGACGTGGCACTGGGGGTCCCCACGATGGGACACTGCCTTGGGGACGTGGCACTGGGGGTCCCCACGATGGGACACTGCCTTGGGGACGTGGCACTGGGGTCCCCACGATGGGACACTGCCTTGGGGACGTGGCACTGGGGGTCCCCACGATGGGACACTGCCTTGGGGACATTGCTCTGGGGTCCCCATGATGGGGACACTGCCTTGGGGACGTGGCACTGGGGGTCCCCATGATGGGGACACTGCCATGAGGATGTGGCATTGGGGGTCCCCACGATGGGGACACTGCCATGAGGACGTGGCACTGGGGGTCCCCATGATGGGGACACTGCCTTGGGGACATGGTACTGAGGTCCCCACGATTATGGGGACACTGCCTTGGGGACATGTTTTTGCGCTGCCCCTGCTGGTGACCCTGTTACGGAGACCTTGTTTTTGGGACCAAAAACCACAACGGGGACCCCTCCACGGGGATGTGGCACTGGGGACACAGAACTGGGGACACCGGGGGGGTGACACCCCGCGCCGGTCACGCGCTGCTTTGCACCGCGGCCAAACCCCACAGCCTGGCTGGGCTCCATGTCCCCGTCCCCGGCGCCGTGTGCCCGTGCCGGGAAGGAACCGATAAGCTCCGGACGCCGGGGCCGGGCCCCGATAACCCCCCCGGGGGACACGGGACATGGAAGCGGGGCTGTGTCGGGGGTCCCGGCGCCCACTCACCTGGTAGGGCAGGTTCTCGTCCTCTGTGTCAGCGGCGCCGGGGAGAGAAGGGTGAGCAGGACACGGGCACCCAGCGGGGTCGGGCAGGGTCCTGCCCCACTCCCGGACCCCCTCCAGGGGTTACTCTGCCCGCCGGGGACCCGCGTCCCCTCCGTGCCACCCCCTTCCTTATGTGACACTCCGTCCCCTCCCTGCCACCCTCACTCTTGCCAGACATCCCATTCCACAGGTGACACAACATCCCGACCCCGCCACGTCCCCTCCCGGCCACCGTGTCCCACCCCAGACACCGTGTCCCATCCCTGCCACCGTGTCCCATCCCTGCCTCCGTGTCCCACCCCAGACACCGTGTCCCATCCCTGCCACCATGTCCCATCCCTGCCTCCGTGTCCCCTTCCAGACACCGTGTCCCACCCCAGACACCATGCAGGACAGACACCGTGTACCACCCCAGACACCGTGTCCCATCCCTGCCACCGTGTCCCACCCCAGACACCGTGCAGGACAGACACAGTGTCCCCTTCCAGACACCGTGTCCCACCCCCAGACACTGTATCCCCTCCCAGACACCATGTCCCATCCCTGCCACCATGTCCCATCCCTGCCTCCGTGTCCCCTTCCAGACACCATGTCCCACCCCAGGCACCGTGTCCCCTCCCAGACACCGTGTCCCACCCCAGACACCGTGTCCCATCCCTGCCACCATGTCCCACCCCAGACACCGTGTCCCATCCCTGGTACCATGTCCCACCCCAGACACCGTGTCCCCTCCCAGACACCGTGTCCCATCCCCGCCACCGCCTCCCGTCCCTGGAGCAGACGTGCCCCGGCCCCGCTCACCTGGCGAGGAGTGTTCGGAGAGCTGGAAGAGCATGGCCGGCGTGGGCCTCCGCCGGCGGATCTGGGGCACAGCGGGGTGTCACCGGCTGGGTGGGGACGCCCCGGGTCCCCTCTCCCCTGCCCTGCGCCCCAGGGACACGTGTCTGCACGTGTGTGAGCGTGTGTGCGCCTGTGGGTGCAGGGCCACAAACCCACCCGGCACGGGGTCCCCGGGGTGTCCCCGGTGCATCCCAGCCCCACACCAGCTCCTCCCGGAGGGACTTTGGGTCCGGCGTGTGCTGGGGACCTCTCCTCGGATCAGGGACAACCGGCGGGGGTGGCTGTACCGACTCCGAGGGCATCCTGTCCCCTTCATCCCATCCCTGTCCTCATGCTGTGCCGTCTGTCTCTTCCCTTCCCTGCTCTCCTGTCCCTGTCCCTGTCCCCCTGTCACAACTCTCCCTGTGCGGGTCCGCAGCTTCCACGGGGACCTCGGAGCTCTCTCGTCCTGTCCCCATCTCTTCCTCAGCCTTTCTGTGTCCCCCACGCAGTCCCGTCCGGTCTGTCCCTCCCGTCCCATGCCCTGCCCACTGCGACCCCCCTTATCCTACTCTGCCGGTCCCATCGTCTTCCTCCTGTCCCCTCTGTCCCTTCCGATCTCCCCCTGGATCCATCCCCTCCCTCCCTCCCTCTGTCCCCTCCCACCGCCTCCTTGTCCCATCCCATTTGTCCCAACGCATTCCCCCATGTCCCCTCTGTCCCTTACATTCCCTGCCTCGTCCCCTCTGTCCCCTCCGATCTCCCGTGTCCCATCCCCTGCCTCGTCCCCTGTGTCCCATCCCCTGCCTCGTCCCCTGTGTCCCCTCCGATCCATCTTGTCCCATCCCCTGCCTCGTCCCCTCTGTCCCCTCCGATCTCCCGTGTCCCATCCCCTGCCTTGTCCCCTCCGATCCCCCGTGTCCCATCCCCTGCCTCGTCCCCTCTGTCCCCTCCGATCCCCCGTGTCCCATCCCCTGCCTCGTCCCGTGTCCCCTTCGATCCCCCGTGTCCCATCCCCTGCCTCGTCCCCTCCGATCCCCCTTGTCCTGCTCTCCCGGTCCCATCCCGTCCCTCCCGTCCCCTTCAATCCCCCTTGTCCCATCCCCTCCCTCCTGTCCCACTCCGTCCCAATCCCGTCCCCGCTGTCCCCGTCCTCCCTCCAGCACCCTCGGGCTCTCCGGTGTCCCCCTCCCGTCCCACGCGGCCGTTCCGGGGGTCCCTCCTTGCCCCGGGGTCACCGGCAGCGCTTTGCCCGGCAGGGAGGAGGGACCCCCGGGCTGGCCCCGCTCCCCTCTCCCCGTCCCCGCTCCCCTCTCACCATCTCCACGGCGCGGGGGTCCAGGTTGCTGGGGGGGGCCGGCACCGAGAACTGGATCTTCTTGCGCTCCTTGGGGTCCATGGCCTTGGCCGGGAGTCACCGGAGCCGGGGGGGGGGGGGGTCTCTGCCACCGGTACCGAGCGGAGTTCGGTGGCACCCGGGGCTCGGTACGACGAGGAATGAGAGTGGCGGGAGGTGGGGAAGGCAGAGCCGGTGAGGAGGAGGAGGAGGAGGAGGAAGGAGAGGGAGGGAGGACACGTCTTCCTACCAGGAGCTGAATTATTCATTCCCCCCCTCCCCGGGCAGGGGGGCCGAGGCCGCGGTAATGAGTCCTTGGGGAGCCCCCCAGGGGGTTCAGCCAACCTGTGGGGGGTCCTTAACCCCTTCCCTGCCGCGGGGGACCCCACCTGCCGTGGCCGGTTGCGTTGGGACAGGGACGGGTGGCTCCATAGGTGTCCCTGTTCCTTATGCCTGAGTGTCCCCAGAGGTGGGGGGCAGGGGACAGAGGGGACAGCGGCTGCCATCCCTTTGTGGGCAGCGGCAAAATTCCCCCCACCGGCTGCTCTGTGCCGCACGGGACGGGGCCACCGCTCTGGAGGGAGTGGGGAGAGAGGGGGGACTCCCAAAACATCCCATCCCCCATGTGCCCCCCACCCCAAGCTGCAGCCCCCCGGGATGTCGAGGCTGCGGGAGCTGCGTCTTCACCCAGGGCTGTGCCCACCTGGCCGAGTTTTTCCCCATCTTTTGGAGATTTTCCCCATCTTTTGGAGATTTTCCCCATAGAAAATCCCACGGGACATAAAATGTTCCCCCTGGGGAAGGAAGAGGTGGGGGGGGTTCATCCTGCACATTCCAGGCAGGGAACGAGGGACATCGAGGCACCTCTCCTGGCCTCACCCAAGGGACACAACCAGGGGGTCCCCACGCAGGGGGACAGCGGCGTGGGCAGCAGCCGGAGCGGTGGCTCGTCCCCTCCTGGGATGTCCCCGGGGCGGTGTCGATGGGAGCGGCCTCTGAGCAGGAACGAGGAAGGGGGAGCTGGGAACTGGCTCCGTCCCCCGGATCTCCCGGTGCTCCAACGGCTGCGGGTGGCCGTGGGCCAGCAGCCACCGCTCCAGCAAAATATTTACCCGAGTGGCAGCGAGCCATGGACCAGCCTCCCGCCCGCCCGGCACCACGCGGCAAAGCTCGGCAAAACACGGCACGGCCCGGCTCTGGGTGACAAATCCTGGCTCTGGGTGGCAAATCCTGGCTCTGGGTGACAAATCCTGGCTCTGGGTGGCAAATCCTGGCTCTGGGTGACAAATCCTGGCTCTGGGTGGCAAATCTCGGCTCTGGGTGGCGAAGGCCAACTCTAGGTGACAAAGTCCAGCTCTGGGCAAGAAATCTTAGATCGGCGTGACAAATCTTGGCTCTGTGTGACAAAGCCGGGCTCTGGGTGACAAAACGTGTCTCCGGGTGACAAACTTGTGGCTGTGGCACAGCGCAGTGACCAGCCGGGTGGGGACAAATCTGGGACAGGCGCCAGCAGAGCCCAGTGTTCCTCATGGAGAGCAAAATCTGGGGACAAGGTGAGGGGTCCCTCGGTCACCCTTGTCCCCTGGCTGGCCCTGTGCCGGGTGTCCCCCGTGCCAGGCTCCGAGCACCGTCCCCATCCCAGGACCCGGAGTCGTTATGGCAACAGGTTCCCGGGCTCCATCCCGCTGCTGTTCCCGCTTCTCCCACCCACGAAGACGCCGTGTGAGGGGGTGGCCGGGCCCCCTCCCCTCCCTGCGCTGCGGCAGCGCCGGCACCCGCAGCCCCCCGGGATCGGCAGGCGCCGCCCGCGCCCGCGCCCACGCAGCGTCACCCGCGGGTGGCACCTGCAGCGTGGCACGGGGGATTGGGGGGGGGTCCGCAACACGGGGGCACCTTCCAGGCACACGTGTGGCACACATGGCCCCGCTCGTCGCCGGGACAGCACCCGTGCCGTGCCCGTCCCCGTGCCCGTGCCGTGCCCGTCCCCGTGCCCGTGCCGCGGTGCCGCGGGGGCTGCAGCTCCGCGCAGCAGCGAATCCTCCCGCAGAGAAGAGAGAGTAAAAATAGCAGCGGGTTGAGGGAAGAAGAGCTCGCCCCCCGCCAGCGGGCAGCGGCGAGGAGCCTGAGCGCACCGCGGAGCCCGCGGCGCGGCGTCACGGGGGCAGAGGGTGCGGGGATGGACCGCGGTGGGCACAAGATGCGGACGGGGCGTCGTGGTGCGGGGGGCACGCCAGGGACGGAGCGTGGTGGGGACAGGGTGGCACGGGGACAGGGTGTGCTGGGGGTGGGACACCGCGGGGACAGGGTGTGCTGGGGTGAAGCATCGTGCCCAGCGGGGTCTCATGGGGACGAAGAGCTCCAGGGATGGGCCATCGTGGGGACAGGGTCTCATGGGGGCAAAGAGCCCCAGGGATGGAGCATGGTGGGGACAGGGTCCCACGAGGATGAAGTGTCCCAGGGGTGGATCATGGTGGGGACAGGGTCCCACGAGGATGAAGTGTTCCAGGGATGGATCATGGTGGGGACAGGGTCCCACGGGGTTGAAATGTCCTAGAGGTGGAGCGTGGTGGGGACAGGGTCCCACGAGGATGAAGTGTTCCAGGGATGGATCATGGTGGGGACAGAGTGTGCTGGGTGTGGAGCATGGTGGGGACAGGGTCCCAGGAGGATGAAGTGTCCCAGGGGTGGATCATGGTGGGGACAGTGTGTGGTGGGTGTGGAGCATGGTGGGGACAGGGTCTCATGGGGACAAAGTGCCCCGAGGATGGGGCCATCATGGGGACAGACAGGGTGTGCTGGGGATGGAGCATGGTGTGGACAGGGTCCCACGAGGATGAATTGTCCCAGGGGTGGAGCGTGGTGGGGACAGGGTCCCACGGGGATGAATTGTCCCAGGGGTGGAGCGTGGTGGGGACAGGGTCCCAGGAGGATGAAGTACCCCAGGGATGGATCATGGTGGGGACAGGGTCCCACGGGGATGAAGTGTCCCAGGGGTGGAGCGTGGTGGGGACAGGGTGTGGTGGGTGTGGATCATGGTGGGGACAGGGTCCCAGGAGGACGAAGTGTCCCAGGGATGGATCATGCTGGGGACACGGTCCCAGGAGGATGAAGTGCCCCAGGGGTGGAGCGTGGTGGGGACAGGGTCCCAGGAGGATGAAGTGCCCCAGGGGTGGAGCGTGGTGGGGACAGAGTGTCCCAGGAGGACAAAGTACCCCAGGGATGGATCATGCTGGGGACACGGTCCCAGGAGGATGAAGTGCCCCAGGGGTGGAGCGTGGTGGGGACAGGATGTGCCAGGGACAGTGTCGTGGTGACGGGTTACACCAGGGACAAGGTGCCACGGGGACAGGACCCTCCTGGGACAGGACACCGCAGGGACAGGGCCTGGCGGGGACAAACACACCGTGGGGACGATCGCACGGCCCAAGGGTGAGTGCCGGGGGGACGTGGCCACAGCATGGGTGAGGGGCGTGCTGGAGGTGCCGGGACCCCCGCGCCGTGCCCTTCACCCCGCTATCCCCCTCCGGGCCCCCCGTTCTGCCCTGCGGGGGTGTCCCTCACCCCGCTCCCGGGTGTCCCCTCCCAGCTGAGCCCCCCGAGCCGCCCCTCGCACCCCAAAACCGCCCCGTGGGTGCAGCAGCCCCCCCCCCCCCCGGAGCTGCAGCGGGGGCCGGTGCTCCCCTGGGTGCAGAGGAGATGCCGGGAGTGGGAACGCGCGTGGGAGCAGAGCACGCGTGGGAGCCCGAGGGGGCGGTGGGAGGGAGCAGGGGGCTTAACCCCTTCACTGCTGGGGGGCTGCAAAGGGGAAGGGGGCCTGGGAGGGACCTTCCCAAAATGGGGCTTTAAAGGGGGGGGCTGGAGAAAAGGCACCCACTGCCCTACTCAGGGACACTGGGCAGCACTGGGGGGTGCGGTGGGGAAACTGAGGCAGGACTGGGGGGGCTGCACCCCTATAACCATCGGGGGGCTCCAATCCCGTGCCTTTAGCATGATGTGGGGTGGTCTGCCACCCCCTATCCCAAAAAGCGCGGGGGCTCCCGCGGCGGCAGGAGGAGGGACCGTGTCCCTGGATGTCCCCACAGCTGGCAGGACAGGGGTGGCCGCGTCCCCAGCACGACGAGGAGGAGGAGGAAGAAGAGGAGGAGGAGTGGCACCCCTGAACCCCCAACGGGGCGGGCAGAGGGCCGCAACCCCCCCAACCCCCTCCGGCCCCCGCAACCCCCGGGGCCCCCGGGGCAAAAGGCAACGCCCAAGCCGGCCGGGCCAAGCCGGCAACGCCACCCGCGGCTGGCACGGCCGCGTGGGCCGGGCAGCGACTCGGGGGCTTTGGCACAGGGCGGCCGGAGCGGAGCCAGCGGACCATGCCCAGCCTTGCACCCACACCACGCGTGGAATTTGGGGGGTCCTGGGGGGTCCTGGGGGGTGGGCACCCACCCAAGCAGCGGCTGTGCTGGTTTGGGGGGGTTCATGCACACGCAGCCCGGTGCCAGGGTGTGCCCGGAGCAGGAGGGGCTGAACGGGAAAAACCTTGAGGGGGAAATCCTGGGAGGATAAAAAGGGGGAATGTGGGGGGCGGAAAAATCTGGGGGTGTTCCAGGAGGTGAGACTCGGGGGGGGGGGGGGTCATGGCGTGCCTCAGTTTACCCACCTGTAGCACTTACCCCGCTACAACCTGAAGCCTCACCCACCCCTTTTCCCTACGGAAGGTGGGACCCCAAAAAACCCTAAAACTCATCCCGGTGCCCCCACGGAGCCCTGGCAGGGTGGGCTGAAGGGGGGCTCCCCCCCAGCCCATCGCTGACCCCCCCCGGGCTGGGCTGGGGTGGGGGTCCCGGCCGCCAGCGCGGAGCAGTTCGCTGCCTCCATTCCCAGAAGAAAGGCTAAAGTTAAAACATCTGTTAATTTATAAACCAATTTAACCATGACTGGTTAATAAATAGCTGCCAGCTGGCACCCCCCACCCCACCCC